AGAGAGAGAGAGAGAGAGAGAGAGAGAGAGAGAGAGAGAGAATGAATCACCTCACCTCGACTTCATAGCTTCAAGAAGAGGCTTGCCACCCCTTGCTAGGTGTGTGACCTTGGCCAAATTCCCTAACCCCTCTGTATCTCACTTTCCTCTGAGATTCATGGCAGCTCGTCCTGCACTGTGTGGTCCCTGGCCTGTCACCTTTCTGCCCCCTGCTGTGGAGTCCTGCCTCTGCATCTCCTACCCTCCTGGGAATCTTCTAAGACCCAGCTCCCACAGCTGCCCACCCCTTTCTCCTGATTCTCTGTTTCAGCTCCCTGTGCTTGACTTCCAGTTCTGATCCTGCTCTTGGAGTTGCCCCTGTATACTCCCAGGTCCCACTTTCTCTTGAGTCTCCAACTGGCTACACTCCCTTGAACACCATTCCTGATGCCAACCCAGGCTGGCTGCTTACCTGGAGTGCAGCTGACCTCACAGGGGCCCAGGGAGTTGTTTTTCTGATAGAACAGGAAGTTGATGAGGCAGGTCCTCTGTTTCTCCTACCAGTCTTTTAAGTGTTTTAAACCTATTTTTGCTATTCCAGATGAAGATGCTGATTGTTAAAGGAGAGTCCTTTACAGGTGTAGCTTGCCAAAGCAAGACAGTAATTTATAGGCATCCCCATAACAAAAGATTGGGGTGTTAGATTGCTTTCCATACAGTAATCAAGAAAAGAAGGGAAAGAGCTGAACAAGTCACCGTTCGTTACCTTTGCTCTCTTGGTTGGAAGACTCTTCTTGTAATATCTGCCCCTGGATATTTTTGGCCTGGAAATGCTTTGTGACTTTTTATTGTGTGTGTACAATGCAGCACCCAGCTGTGTTCTTCCAAGTCCCCAAGGAAGTCAGCACAGACACAAACACTAGCTCTTTTCCTCCACTTCTTCCCCTTGGGCCCCTCTGGCTCATTTTTTTCAGACTGGCTTTTATGGAGTGGCTACCAGTCCCTTATTATCTTAGTTCCGCTTAGGCTCTACTATGGTCTTTCCTTCTCTTTCTGTCTTGTTCAGGCTGAGCTTGTCATCTTGAATTTGGACATTGGTCAGCTTTTCTTTTTGTTTGTTTCTTTTCTTTTCTTTTTTTAAAAATTAATTTTTAATTTTTGCACACAAAGTAGCGGATTTCCTTGTGATACTTTGATACATACTTAGTTTGGGTTTTCTTCATTGGCAAGCTTTCAATTTATACCCAGTCATTGTCCCAAATTACCAAAGTCACTTGAGATTCTAGGCCTGTATTTTGAAGCATTGAGCCTCCTTTCCCCAGTTGGGTGTTTTGCCAGTGCTGGGAACTTGATCTGAATTTCCCATCGAAGTTACTATGGAGACATGGAGGGCATCTATCTGTATTGCAGACCTCCCTGGCCCTGAAGGGGAAAAAAAAATCTCCAGGTCCTTCTAGAGTGTTTGGTGCTCAGTTCTCCTTTCCCAAAAATTGTTTCCGTCTGGAACAAGCAGTGTGGGGTGATCTCACCTCTTGTCATCTTTCTGGTGTCTTCCTTGAAGTGGTAAGTTCCTCCTGGCTGTCATGGGTTCCTTGTTACTCCCACCCTCCCACTTTTACAGAGTTTCTAAATCACACTGAATTGTTTCCGAATCTCCAAAGCTGCCTTTTGGCCTCAGATCACTAGCCAGTACTTTGCAGTTAATGGGATCCAATTCAAGCTACAGCTTCCCAGCTCCTCTGCCCCCAGAGACAGCTGGGATGACTTCTCGCTGGTGAATGTCAGTGCTGAGGCTATCTCCTAGGAATGGCATGCATTGAGGACTTTGTGGTTTGTAGCTGAGTAGTTAGGGGCTCCCTTACAGGGGAAGGAGAGGGTAATTTTTGTTTCTACAAAGGAAAGCCTAGTTGTTTGGCTGAAGCTTGTTTTGGGGATGGATTCACAGGGGATCAAGAATGGCAAGAATTTATGGGGCCACTACTCCAAGGGGGTGGGGGATGTTCCTCAGTAGCAGAAAATTCATTATATGTTGGGAGCATTTGTTAGTGTCTCATGTATACCATCTGTAAGAAAATAAACAGAAGCTACAAACAGAGCCTGCTGTTCCGGGAACAGAACAAGATCTGGCTTCCATCTCACAGGGATGGCTGAGGTGAGAAATGTGCTGAGGCCCTTAGAGGTTTCTCTTGGGCTTTGCTTTGAGAATGAATGACCTGGAGGTGAAATTGTGGCTGGACAGTGAGCCTCTCCGCTTTCAGAGAGCTCTGCAGCCTGCTTACTAGAGTTTGCTCTCATTCATTTTATCCACACATTCATTCAACAAGTCTTTCTTCATTGTGCATTATATGCCAGAAATGATACTAGGCATCAAGGTTACCTGGGTAACAACCAGCCACGACTGCCTGCCACCTGCTCCCTGAAATCACCTCTCTGCTAACCAGGTGGCATAATGGCTGGGCTCTGGTACAGCTTTGCCATAGAACAGGAAGGCCTGGCACCTGTTCCTTTCCTGTTCTCCCTGGGAGATGGGCAGCTTGCCCAGGGTGTCATAGAGAGGCCTCCTGAGTGCCAGCCTCAGCCCCTCTGCACTATAGACCCCTTCTCTTTCTCTCACCCTGTATACTACCTCAGGGTTACAGTGGATCCCAGCACATTGAGTACCCATGTGGGAGGGGCCTGGGGACTGTTCTTATGTGGACTCTCACTCAGGCTGATGTAGGGATATTGAGGGGAACTTCCTAAAGCTGGATCTCCATGGCAAGTAGAGAGTCCTAGATGTAAGAGGGTGACTCTATACTGTGGCTCCTGTGTGAACATCCATCTTTGGGAGACACTTCCTTCTACTGAAGGCATCAACCCTACTTGGACCTACAAAACGGTCAGGGTCCTAAATCCAGGGACCAGAGTCTAGCCTTCGTTCTGTCCCTCTCTAGCTGTGTCACCTTGGGAAAATCACGTAACCTCTCTGAGCTTCAGCTTCCTCATGTGCTTAGATATGGTTTAGATGAGCACAGAGCCTTCCCCAGGTCTGACACTGTCACTCAATGTGAATGAGTCCCAGGCCCTTTTAGAAGGTGGCTTAGGGGACACTGGATGCTCAGAAAGTGGGAGGAGGATGTGAGATGGGAAGAAAGGGTCTGAGAGGACTAGATGTCGAGGATAGAATAGGTGGAGCTCAGATAAAAGAGCCTGGGGTACCTAATACCAATGTGGGTGTAAGGCAGGGACTCTGTAGGTAATTTGATGGGCAGAGGCTGCATGCATGATGAGGAAATGACTGGTCTACCATCCAAGTATGCCTTTCTTTAGACAAAGTGATGCTCATTAGAGTCTGTAGTTTGAGGATGCAAGTCACTCATGTGATAAAGAAACAGGCCCAGGACTTGGATAGGGAACTGGGCTTCACCCTCAGATGTGAATGGAGACTGTGTCTTATGTTGATGGTCAAAAGGGCTCCCAGATGTGCCCTTCTCTTGACTTTACATCTGAGAACCTGAATAAAGGCAAGTGGGGTGGGTCGCCTTCCAGAGCTGCTTCCGTATTAGGACAGATAGCACCAGGCATCATGGCCATATGCATATGTGAACTCTGACCAGCAGAGAAGTGTGGCCAGCAGATGTCACATCTCCCCTGTCCTGCCAGATATGTCCTTCTTCATAAAGTGACTAGTGAAGATGGGAGGATAGGACACAGTCCTCCTTGTGGATTTCTAAGACACTGAGGGTTTTGATTTTATGGCCCTGTGCAGACAGGTGGGAAGAGGGAGAAATGACTTCCTTTATAGCAATGGAATGTGTGAACACTTTGTTCTAGACTGTTCCTTATAACCTCTGACCCCACATTGCAGTGCTTGTTAGCTCATAACTGCTAGTCAGTAATCAGATGGATGGAAGGATGCCAAGTGGATGGATGGGTGATGGATGGAGTGGAGGACTACACATGTCTGGATTATTAGCAGACAAACTTTCTCCCCTGCTGTCTGAGCCTCGAAATGGCCGTATCTTACCCACAGGCTTCCCCCACTAAAAGGAAGGAAGAAGTAAACGTTCCCTCAGTGTTCATCCTCCTCTTTTATGTCCTTTGTACATGTTTGCCTCTGTCTTCCCTCTTCTCTTGTAAACCTCTGGGGTCCAAAAGCACTACAATATGCGTTTGCTCTGAGATTAGAGAGGTCTTGGGGGAATTTTCTGGTGCTGGGCTCCATGGAGAAAGTTCATACTAATTAATTCCATCTCCTTTACCTCGGTCTCTTCCTTGAGCATCAGGCACACACCTGAAGTCACCTCTAACTTTGCTTTGGTTCATCTTGTATTCAGAGTGTCTTAACAAGCATGTAGAGTAAGATGTGTGATTTGAGGGGAGGCACCATGCCAGACCAAAAATAGCTGCCTCTTGAACAAGTGCAGGAAGGTGTTTGAGATTCCACGGCTATGTTCAGTCTCTTCAGAGGTGGCCATGGCCCTTTAAACCAGCCTGTAGTTTTAACTGTGTAGAGGGCTCCGGCTGGGTCTAATGGGGTGGGTGGGAAGATTAGGGGCAGCCTGGCACAGAGCCAGCACTGGATGAACATTGCCCACAATTGGACTTATAGACAGGAAGAGTACCTGGGAAGGGAAGGGATCCAGGGGGAACCCTGGTGAGAGGAGGGATGGGCTCTGGCAACTCACGGAGCCTCTTTACCCCAAGCTGACCACCCATCCTGTTTTCTCCAACCCATCCAGGCTGGCCTGCCACTCCTCCTGCTATGATGCCTGGGCAGATCCCAGACCCTTCAGTGACCGCAGGCTCTCTGCCAGGGCTTGGCCCCCTCAGCGGACTCCCCAGCTCAGCTCTGACTGCAGAGGAGCTGAAATACGCTGACATCCGCAACATTGGGGCCATGATCGCACCATTGCACTTCCTGGAGGTGAAACTGGGCAAGAGGCCCCAACCTGTGAAAAGTGAGGTGAGATCCTTATTCCCCAGACACAGCCCATGGGCAGGACCCCAGGCTTCCAGTTGTAGGCCTGGGCCTAAACATACCTTGGAACCTTGGCCTTGCTCTTCAAAGTGTGGTCACAGGACCACCAGGAGAACTGGGGAGACTCGGGCCTCATTCCAGCCTTGTTAAGTCAGAGCTTGCATTTTTACCAAGCTCTGGGGGGGATTTGTGGATGCATTAAAGATTGAGAAGCACTGGGCTAGGACAGGTTTCTCTGCCTGTGCTTCCTGGAGGTGAGGGAAGAGGGATGATAATACTGATGATGAATACTAGTATCTTAGCTGTCTCTCTGGGAGTGCTGGGAGGATCAACAGAGATAAGGAATGTGCATAAAAAGCGTAGAGGGGATGCCAGTGTCATCTTCAAAAATGGGTGTCATTTTTGCCCCTTTGGCCTCTGTCTGAGTCTGAACTAGGGAACTTGGAAGAGTGGTGTGGCCTTCCTCTTCAGCTGCAAGGGAAGGCATGACCTCAGTCCTCAGCATCAGCTGCCCGAGATGGGGTTTACAGAGAACAGACTCATAGAGAATCCCCTCCTGAGCTCCCTGCACCTGCTGCTCTCAGGAACCCTGTGGGCCAGGGCAGCTGTTCCCCCAGGGAACTAGTGAGAAGTGGAAGTCCCCAGCATGGCCAAGGATCAATGCAATACATACCCCAGGCATTTACCCAGGACCGGTGATCTGATTTGTCCTAAGGCCTACCCTGGTAAGAGCTCTGGGAGGGCTATTTCTTTGAGAAGCCATTACCTAGTAGGAGCCAGGGGAAGGAGGTGAAAAAAAGGGAGCTGGAGTGAGCTGGGAACAGGCAGGAGCTGAACATCATGTGTGCAAGGCTCTGCCCAGAGGTTTGCTTACCGGTGCGCCTTGATGGAGATCCCAGAGCTTAGATGACTGGAAGCTGTGAAAAGAGAGGTTTCTGCAAAGAGAAAGGTGTCCAGCTGGGGACTGTGTGCATGATTCATTATTCCTTTCTTCTCCTTGTGAGTACCACGATAAACGTTGCAGAGAAGGGCTTCTGGGGGCTTGGCCTTGGCTGGCAAGCTCACTGTTTGAAGGCTGGAGTTGGCACTCAGGTGTGTTTTGTTTGGCCTGTTCAGTGTTTTAAAAGCAACTCAAAGCAGCATTTCACTTAAAAATTTCAATGCAAACTTGGGAAAATCTGTTTGTACACTGCCCTGGTCAGGCATCAAAAGGACTAAATGAATGGGAAGAGTTGCCTCCTTTTCTCCTCATTCTTCTTGGCCATGGGCCCCTGACACCTGCCTATTATCTTGGCTCTGCTTTCTCTGTTGGTTTTACCTTTATTCACCTCTGCTGCCTGGACCCCTTGAAGCCCTTTGGTCATGAGACACCTTAGAGACATCATAGGTGCCTCCTAAAGACCATTGATTCCAAAATGAGAATTGACTGAATGTATTCTGAGTTATCTGTCAATGGGCATTGTGCTGTTGGTAGCACTTCTGTCATGGAAGACCCTTGTCTTTTCGCCCTCTGTTTATCACCTTCCCAGGCCCATAACCTAAAAGTGATTATTTCTGGGTCATTCTGTAGCATAATTGTCATTGAGACCCACTGGCTGAGCAATGTCATTGAGCTTTGAGGCCATGAGTGATGAAGCCAGGTGCCTTAGGCAGGCGTTAGCCCCAGCTGCACCCTGCCTGGAGTGCTGAGTTTTCCACCTCTCACCTCCCCCAAAGACCCTGAAGGACTTCCTTTTTGGGAGGAAAAAGGACCTGTTTTGGGGTTGGGTATTTTTACATTTCACAGCCACCCCCAAACTGGTGGCATATGCCCTGTACCTGATAGTGACGCTCTGTCCTCACAGGCACCCACAGGCATGTACCATCCAGGCTGTGAAGATGACAAGCTGTTTTTAGGGCGTATTTGCATGTCCTCTCACTCACTGTCAGACTGCAGCATTGTGGGGGCGAAGAGGCAGCTGGAGCAGTGGGATTGTGCTTCATGGGGGAGGCCAGGCCTGCCCTGAGAACTGACCTCCAAATGTTCCCTAGGTCAGGCAGAGGGGCTGGGTAAACTTCTTCTTGGAGCAGGTGGGGAGAGAAACTCGCAGCTGACAAAGCTATGCTCTACAGATCTATTTGCATATGGTAAAATGGATTTTCCCATTGGTATTTGAGACTAGTAAAACTTCCTGCAATAATACTGAGATGTCAGCTCATGTTGATTAACTATTTGGCGTGTGCCAGGCCCAGTGCTGAGTTCTTAAACACTTGCTATCCCACTCCTTACCTAGTTCTGATGACCAGATTCTCATATCAGAGAACAGGGATTTAAGGTCTAGGAAAGAGATGAAGTGACTTGGGGCCATTCAGCTGAGCAGGTCCTGGCAGGTTGCTGTTGTCACAGCTCTATCATCCTTGCCTCAAGTTAGGTACCAAGCATAGTGCTAGCCATTCTGTGAGGTACCCCATTTGCCTTTCACAGGCCCCCTCATGAAGTCATTCTCCTCCCTCCCTTCCTCCCTCCTTTGTTCTCTCTTTCTGTCTCTGTGTCTTTCTGTCTCTGTCTCTGTCTCTCTTTCTGTGTGTGTGTGTGTGTGTGTGTGTGTGTGTGTGTGTGTGTGTGTGTGTGTGTGTGTGTGTAGCGGTCAGAAGACAGCCTCAGACTGGGTCTGTCTTGTTTTTGCACTGTGTATGTCAGACTAGCTCAAAGCTTCTATAGTCTCCTGTCCCCATCTTCCATCTCTCCAGAGGAACACTAGGATTACAGATGCTCACAGGCTAGGAATTCAGCTTTCACATGGGTTCTGGGGATTCAAACTCAGCTCCCCATGCTTGCATGGCAAGTGCTTTTACCCACTGAGACATTTCCCCAGTTCCTGAAGTCATGATTAATATTATAATCCCTACAGATGAGGTCCACAAGGCTAAGGTTACTTGCTGGGAAACCAATCAAGCATTGTGACTTTGGAACCAAAAGTTTTAACCTTAAGGCAGTGCTGTTCTCATGTCTCTGCCAGGCTTTTAACCTGAACTCTATCAGACTGAGGAGGCCAGGTACGTGGTCCCTAAAATGCTTGATCATTTCAATGGCATGGCCCAATTGGTGCTGAGCATAGCAGTTCTGTATCTGCATCATCTTCCGGCCCCAAGGGAGCAAGGATCAAGCAGCTGTGCCGGCAGCTCTGTCAGAGCTCACTCTTGGGCTGTCTGCCTTGCAAAGACCAGTGGCCTCCTGGGCCACATCCAAATACACATAGCAGTTCCATTAGAGAAAATAAAAGGAATTAAGTTAAGTGCTTTGTGCTTTGTGTTGGTGTTGCTGCTGTTAATGACTGACATAATATAAACTGGTTTGGGGTCAATTATCCATCTGTAGCCCATCCACTAAACATCTACTATGTGCCAAACATTGTGCTGTACACTGATACTAGAGCTATCAACAAAGGTGATAGAATCCTCTCCTCTCTTGCAGCTATTTATTGTCATGAAAGTTGCCAAAAAGAAGGCAATGGATTTAAAATATAGAAGGCCAGGTAGTAGTCAGTCCCATTGGATGAAGAGAAACATAGTGCTCATTCTGGTGACTAGTCAGGGACTCTGGGGACATTCTGTCTTGTTAAAACACTTTTTAGAACTGCTACTTCTTTCTTGCCTCTCCCTTCTTCATTCCTTTCTAGTATTCCTTTTCAAGGCACGGTTACTCTCCAGCAGATTCCATACCTTTTCTTCCTTCGTTTTCTGTCCTGCAGCCCTTGACAGCAGGACCCCTTGACCAACTGGAGGCCTCAGCCCTGCCCTGGACATCTGTTACAGTGGATGGCTGTGGCCTGGTGGCCTCATCTTCTTGGAGCCTGGGATGCATTTTCAGTTGGGAGGGAAGAGGCCAGAAACCCCATCTTGTACACTCAGCCAAACACCAGGCACTCATCACCTTAATAGATGGGACCCCCGCCCCTGCACCCTACCACCACCACCACTATAGTTCAGTGTCTAGAGGAGGCTTAAGGGCTCAAAGGAGGCTGTTCTGGGTAAGCTTTCAGGACAGAAGCTGTAAACTGTAAACCATGAGGCTGAGGCTGGGTGTCAGTTTGCAGACTGAATCTTGGTGGGTGCTGTCAGAGTCTAACCTAAACAGTCGGTGGTCTCTCTTCTTTTTCTTACTCCCCTGTCCTCTCCTGTCCTCCTTGTCCTTTATTTTATATTTTCTGACCTTGGCTCTCTCAGTTTAGTCCAGGCTTGAACTCATGAACATCTCAGCCTTGAGAGCTGATATCTTAGCCTTGAGAGCTGACATCACAGTCATACACCACCAAGCCTGGCACTTGCTCCCCCCACCCTCTCCCTCTTTCTTTCTCTCATACATTAAGTATAAGCTAGGAAATGTGAACTTTCTGGCTTCTTTTTAAAAACAGCCTCTCTGGCCACTCCAGGCCTATGCCTTCCTGTGCACAGGTGTTCCCCGTGTTACCGTGCAGCCTCTCCTCTGCCACCCTCCCCATTGCTCCTCCTCGGTGACTTGCACCTAGCCCACTGCTGCTATCACCAGCATTCTTTTGAGTTTGTACTCTGGGCTTCGGTGCAGGGGCCGCATCTTATGTTGCATCTTACTCCCTCACTTCTGCTCAATCTCACACAGACTCTGTATCTTATACCTGCCTGTTGGTCTAGACGTTATTAACTGTGCCAACTTGGCAAAGCACTAAAACTTTTCTGTCTCTCATTTGTTCTGTCTTTCCCATCTTGCCACAGCTTTCTTATTTCTGAATTGAGATGACTTTAAGAGAGAGAATATGAACCAAACTAATAATTTTCAAACTTTGCCAATCATCCAGATAGCTTGGGAAACTTTTTCAAGATCCAGCTTTCCAAGCAGGCCCTGCCCTTCCCCACTGGAAGCAGATGCTGAGTATAGAGTTTAGGGGCTTTGCATACTTAACAGACTTGATGCTTACTCGGATCTATTTGGGAGTGTGATGCTCACCCATCTAACCCTCTACTCAGAC